GAGTCAAGCTGTTCTCCGCTCTGTCGTTCAACGACTAGTTCCTCGTTGGGTAATACAGCTAGCTTCAGATTTCTGTTCGGTCATCTGACATGTTGAGAATAACTTTTACACGTCCTGATTCCCCCTGAGAAGGAATGAGACTTTTTATTACCAGAATTCCAGGGAATAGTTTACCATGTCACGCAAATCAAGGATTACTAGGGTTACTAACGCAGGAGTGACGAAGATGAGTAAGCATGACAAGTTTTGTAATACGACCAGAGGGAAAATGGCTTATGTCAACCCTGTCGGAGATAGGATTTCCCTGGTCTGTATCAAAGATACTTTTTCTATCTGTTCATCATCTAGGGATCTCTGAGCTATTATCTAAAAATCTATGCGGGAGCCTAACTGTCCGGATGACACAGTTCTGTTACTTATAGTTTAAACACTAGAAATTTACTTCCTAGCAACTTTATAGGATCTTTGACTCGCTACCTCTGATATTCTGACAATGTCCGATGTCACACGTAGTTATTTAGCAGACTCTCTGGAGTGACGACTTGATGGCAGATGCCTAGTTACAGGCTGGTCAGGGTCAGTATTTGTTAATTTGGACACTGCATGGAACTAGCGACGGTCATTCTAATTACTCAGTATCAACAAGAGTAAATCCCTCTCGGTGATACTGAGAGTCAGCGATTTCGGGTGAGGTAGCACAAGTCCCTTACTCTAATTTGAGTTGTCTTACATTTGTTACCCACTGTTATGTACAATGTTAGATTTCGCGAACTTTTTGAGGTTACATATTGTTACACCACTTCGATGAGGATTCTGTGCTTATGTTTGCGATTTACCTATGGATTTGCCTTTTCTTTGACCTCTTATATCAAGCACGTTTGAGCCCCCTTGATGTGTATATACCTATTCTCTTTATGGAGAACGGTGTCTCATCAGGCACCATTTTGATGAGAGGATATGGGGACTTTAGGAGTAGGCATTCTATGACGAGTCTTATCTGTATACTCATCTTGCCTTTCAGGTTTAGTTGTTCATATTTTGGAGGATTGGATGTGCTTATTAACTTTAAAAAGATGTAAATTCTCCATAGATACATCAGACGAACTACTCCCTGTTTTGTAATTTATCATTTCAAGAGCTATTTGATGTTTTTTTTTAATCCTAAAATATATTTAGAGATACCAGTCAATTTGGGAAAGAATGGTGTTAACATTCTAGCTTACACCGAGGTCACAACTCTCAGAAAATACCTAAATTCGGCTGTGCTATCGTGATGACCGAGTGCATCAGCTTCCCGAGCGACTGACTAAAACAAAAGCTCTAAATATCCGTCAACGTATAATAGCATCAATAGGTTGCCAGAGTGCAATAATAAAACGCTGCTGAACGTGCTTATTCATGGTATGCAGTTGGTCAATTCACCTTGGATGTCACTGACTTTGTCGAAGCGCGGCAATATGTTTGACATTCAGGGACGTGTCCGCTTGATGATTTGACCAAAGCTCAGTAGATTGTACTGGCTCCATAATCTTCTAGTACATGAATTGCCGTAAAAAGAATATATGACATATTGTATATCATAGGCGATCCTAATTTGTTGAGGAATTAAGTTTTAAAATAATCCATTACACAAAAGAGCCGGAAGAATGATTACTTACCCCCACACTTACCTGTAGAGAGGAATTCACCTGAATAAACACTAGCTGTAACATCAAAAAGTAACACTGATATAAGGCAGATCAGACTAGCGATAATGAGAAAAAAGCTACATTCGTTGTAAAAATTTCGAAGCTGAGTGAATTCTTACTTCCTTTACAAACTTCACAACCTCCCTGGTGGACTCGGGATAAATTCCACATTCTCGTGCCATCTAAGTATATCGTAATCAGTGACTACGGTTGTGTTTTCATTTAATTGGTAACCTAATTGTAGATATCTCTGAATAATTAGTATAACAGAAATATTGAGCGTAAATCTTTTGCTATATTGTAGCTTCTCTCCAATCATAACTAACTGCGTCACGTTTGACACCTTTATAACATGATGGAGTTGTATTTTTGTTGCGTGAAATTTTACACTTTTCAAGTAAACCAGTAAAAATCACTGAGGACAAAACATGACGCCATCATAGATTACAATAGTTTAAACAATAATTACCGCTTCACTTTGGTTGTTTGCTGGGCGCAAGGTCGAAATAGCGGACTACAGTGAAGCTTATTTTTACCCCTAAGGTGGACTGGAAGTAAACCTAATGCCAGTCACCGATTTTAAAGTCTAATTGGCGACCAATTAGGATGAAGCGAGAATTATCTTTTCCACCATCTTTGTAAGCGGTGTGGGTTGTCTTGCCTCGTTCCGCGTGTTTTTCCCCTGGTATTCTTGTGTTGCTGCAAAACCAAGTGACGCGAATAGCATCCAATACATATAAGCAAATGAAAATGTACAATTGTTTTCCTGAATTAATTAATTGCATCTATCTGATATGCAACACTAACAGAGGAATGAAAGTGAAAATGTTCCGCTTACGAACGTCATCAATTATAAACTGTTTTAATTAGTTGCTACAAATAACAGTGGACGCGAGATCCTGACCGTTCTGGGGATCTAACTTCCTCAACACTATTTGAATTATTTTTTAGATAAGGTTCTTTCAGTTTCAGTGGTTGGTAGGTCCTAGAACACTGTCCATTTCGATAACATACACTGTAACGCTAGATCTATTTCTCATATAATAAGTTCGATTTTTCTTCCCAAACAGACGTTTATTCCTACAAAATGCACCTGCTAAGCTGATATCCCTATTCTATATTTTAGTAATCAATGAAAATTCGCTCAGTGTGCATCTGTTAAATATTGTCATTTTACCCCAATTTCTCTACTGTTATATGTTCTAATTTTGGAAAATAAAAGCAATATATTAAGTAAATACGTACTTACTTTCTATGAAGAAGACTTTGGTCTTGATACGGTTAACAGGACTGTCGTCACGTGTTCGCTATGATGCTAAACAAGCACGTAGATCTATGTACTGTGCTATATAGGGTGCCCTTATGTTATTAGTATTCTGTGAGGCGTATCCGAAGAATCGGTCGTATATCACAGGACATTCGGGTTAGCAATTATGATATCAGACGCAGAGATGGTTAGCATATGTATAAACCATGTCCATCCCCTACTACGACCCACCATGGTAGCTGGTGTATGTTGTAGGAAGGCTGGGGAAGTACTGATCTGTCCCGTGTAGTGATGTATGTACGAACCTGGGTTTGTAGGTTCTTCACTCAAACAGAAACAAATATATTCTGTACTACTTATCACTTGTGAACTAGATTTATTACGGATTTACTAGGCCGATTAACTTGATGAATCGTAATAGAATCAGGTTTACAGATGCATCTAGGAACGATTTCATTAGTAAGGGAATATCGAATGACTATTTGCACAGGGATTTCACTCACATCTTTCAAATTGATAAAGCAAAGCTGTGGTTCTTGTTATTCGTTCTGGAGCGAAAGAGTAAAACAAGTAACCTATAAATAGTGGAAGTGGCTGTGAACCTAAAGAAATTGCATGCGCACATGTACGTAAAAAAGTAAATAAATAAAACGGCTGTGCCTTATTAGTATCACGGATATCAGTTAAAGATTAGACTAGCTCCTACAACATGTGAAAGGCACAGTATGTGCTAAATGCCGTATTGTATAGCTCTTATTCTTTTGCTTCAATTTATATATTCTAATGTATTTGCGTCTCGTTTTACGGGAAGATATACAACGAGTTAGTATATGATAAAATAATAGTACCAGTTATTGAAAAGTTTTTACTGTTAATCCACAGCCAGTTCCATCTAATAAAGATGTAGAACGCTGCCTTTCTAGGACAGTATAGTGCTCTTTTCTAAGAAAGTAACAACTTAATCAGTTGGTTATCAATCTGTCGGTGTTAACGTCAGGGAAATCGTTCAGTAGTAGTTATCTTGAAATATGGTCAAACTCGGACGTATGGTCTGCGAACTCACACCGAAAATAATCATCACCTTTTTTCAAACTGAGCACTATTTTGTCACTGGCGCATTACGTGTAATTTATTAATGCAGTGAACTGGTGAAAAGTTGGGGCGGGGGGAGTGCAATAAATATGATATATCATTGTCACATCCCCGCTTCGTCATGTACTGCACAAGTCGTAAATTCTCAGCTTCAGATTCCGGAATCTAGTAAGAATGTAGTGTATACAAAACCTCTTGCTGATCGTTTTTTAATTTAGAAACTCAACGACACTATTGACGATGAAAAATTAAGTAACCCTAGCTACTAAACTTATGTATTTATCACTTCCCATAAGTACTATTATTGCATTGACTAAGCCGAATTACACGACAATTAATTATACTAAACTAATGAGGTCTCGTAATTGTCGTTTCATTTGAACAAACACGTTTATTTAAGTTGCTGACTATGAATAATCAAACCAATATAGCTCCAAAAAGACTAGAAGCTAATATGATTTACCTAAAAAGAAAAAACGATATTGCTTCCACATTGAAGACTACAGTCATTTAGAAATCAAAACGTGGTTTACAGAACAACTGCCAGAACTAAACTGAACTTCAAACCTTTCTCCATTATCCCTTGACGGTCCACTTCAAAATAACTATGAGCATTATTAGGCTTTCTACAACTTAGGGTATTATTCCAGCACGTAATACACTTGCCCAATGTAATACAGCATAACAAGTTGAATAAAACTTAGTCAAGGCGAAATTCGTAAATTCCAATAAAAACCACGTCATCATAAATTCATTGTATATATGACCGTTATCCTGGTCGCCGATACACTTAGTTGACGTGATAACGTCGATCATATTTAATTTTCCGCCGACATGTTTGTTTGTTTCGACCTGCCATGCAACATCTCGAGATTAATAATAAGTAGTCAATATAATTCAAAAGGTTCCTTCTGATCTAAAATTCTATTTTCTGATTTCTCTACGGCTTGCACATGATGTTAAGATATGCTGTATTGCAGTGCATCAAATCAATTACAAGGCGTTGCAACTTCTTCGCCAACCAGGTGCTGAAGGTCCTGTAGGTTCATAATCTGTGTGATCACTGCACAGAATTCGCTCTTCGGTATAACTAATATATGAATCCTGTGTTTTAGAAAATCCATAAATGAACGGAAATTACTACGCTTTGAAATGGTTTTTGGACGTCATGTTGGTGAACTTGTGTTTTTAGCTAAACATAATTTTCAGGGTTGTGAAATGGTAGGTGAGTCGGGTTATCAACTTAGGAATTTACCAAACAACCGCTCTAAGCGTAACGTAGAGATTGAGTTTAACTCCAATACTTGTGTGCATCAAGCTAAGCGTCCACGGCGATCTGACTCGACCTCATCACATAAAGAGAATAATGGCCTCTGTACGGCACCGAAAAACAGTTCCCCATCTAGATCTAGAGTACTTCCATTAAGGAGCATTCATCCAATGAACACGAGCAACGAATCCACAAATGTTTCATCACTTGTTCGAAGACTTAAAGTACCAGGAGATCCAAGTGAAACTACTACCCGACTGACACGTTCGTGTAGTGTCAAAACAAGTCCAATTGCCATCCAAAAACGTACTTTGCGAAGCAGTCGCCGAAGTAGCATTCAAACTATTCCGAATGCCATATTACAGGTTAGGCTGGAACGTTTCTCTGTTCAGTCTTGTTCTGGTATACAGTCTGACTCAGTTGTCGGTTCGTGTAGTAGCAGTTTGGCTAATGGATCACAGACAGAAACAAAAGCTTCAAAAGAGTTGCTACCCTTGTTCTCTCCAAGAAGGTTTAGTTCAGTTGGAAAAGATCAGGCAGCTAAGCTAAAGCGACTAAACAGAAGACGCATGGAGTTCGACGTTCAAGAATTAAGCCAGTCTTTTGGCTGCGATCTTTCTCCTGCATCTTCCGATTCACTACTTGTAAGTAAGAGCTTTATTTATGTGATTTAAAATGTTCATTATCGATGTTATGTGAGTGGTCAATAGCGTAGCCTGTTACTGTATGTTAATTTCCACTTTATAGTGACGCTTTAAGATTCATATAAGCTTTACACGTCTACATAATCCAGCATTTTGACTTTGTATTCACTCTATCTAACTATATTTTCATACTTTATGACAATTGATAATTTTAGTGGATTATATGCTTCTTGAATTAGCTACTTTCCCTTAATAATTCCTAATTTTCAGAATCAATCTGTAGTGGGTGATCCCCTGGAAAAATTATTGCGGTTATGCGGCCAGACTGAAATCAAGTCGTTCGATGAATATTTTGACCACACGTATGATACTCACAAGTTCATAATTTTGTTCATAGAATAATTGAAAGCATGGTAAAAATTGGCGAGGGTGTATATGGTGAAGTATTTCAGTCACCGAAAGGCAATGTGGTCAAAATCTTCCCTGTGGATGGAGAAGATCTTGTCAATGGTGAGAAGCAAATGAAATTTGGAGAAGTTTATCCTGAAGTGTTCGTATCGCAGTAAGTCTAAGGTGTTTATTTTGAATCATCATTAGGAAGTTAAGTGAGCTTGCATACAAGTATCGACGTAACCGGTCAGTCAATTTTGCTCAGTTAAAGAGGTAAATATTTGTACACCATCTTACTTCATTTCCAGAGCAACTGTTGTTAGAGGAAAACTACCTAAGGCTTTAGCTTCAAGTTGGAGAAAGTATGAAAACCAACGGGGTTCAGACAACGAATGTCTGGACTTCTTACCTGCTGAACAACAATGGATGGTTTTAGAGTCTGAATTTGCTGGAGAACCACTTTCCAATGTACGAGTAAGTATCATTACATGGAATTTGCAAGGTGGCTAGTTATACTTGCCTCCAAATCTGGCAAGTTTTCTAATCTCAGATCACCAGATTTTCTGGTTATAACTCCTGTGACTTGGGGTATTTGTGTACTATCATTTTACTCACCGATTCAATGTTAGGTTTTATTTTGAGTAATCTACCAAAGAGAGGAGTTATGATCTAGAGTGTTTCTAATTTGTTGACTAGAAAAACGCACTTCATAGTACCGGTTACTAAATAGCGTTTTGGAATATACTAATCGTACTATCTCACCATTTAATGTCCACTAATAATCTTACCATGAATTTTTATCTTAACCGCCAGCACAAACACCTGTTACTCATGGAGCATAGACCACTGACCAGAAATCTCCAACTTACTTTGTTCTAGGATCTCAGTCGTTTCCAAATGATATTCATTATTTTGGTGTATGCCTCTAATTCTCGACACAATATTTTATTTGGTATCCGTTCCCTTTTGCCTTAAGGATCCCAGGTTAGGACTTACCTTGTGATGCAGTTTGACAATTTCCGTAGTATGGTCTATCTGGCCCCGACGACTTTTCCTAATTTCCTCTTCAGCTGGAAGCTGGTTTGTTCTCTGCTTGAGTGGGGTTATTGCTGATGTTTGCTCAATGGATATGGAGTTTATTGCGCGGAAAGCTGTGTATAAATATCTGTACCTTTTGGGTGATAGTTGTAGTACTTCAAGTTTCATCTCCGTACAGTTGAACTATCTTGATGTTTGTATTAAACATTCTGACTTTGGTGTTGTCTGACAGTTTTTTCGAGTTACAGACGTTCTTCGATTGTAGGAATGCTCCCCTTGCTTTGTCAGTTTATTCCTTCGTATCTCCACCGGGTCCCCCGCGTTTGTCAATAATGCTGCCCAAGTACATAACAGTGTCGATCTCTCCCAGAGCTTCTCCCTCAATTGTGATTTGGTTGGCGCTCGTTGTGTTGTATTTCAGGATCTTGCTTTCTCCTGTGTGAACGTTGAAACTTAGTGCTGCAGGGGCTGCTGCTACACTGGCTGTCTTCGCCTGGACCGGTTGCTGTGTATGGAGTAGAAGAACTAGAACATCTACAAAACCAGTCATATAGCTATATCCAAGCTGTCAACTGTGATGTGGACGTTTTCACAATCCAGTCAACTACCAAAACAAAAAAAGAGAGTAAACAGCTTTGTCTGACACTAATCTTCACTTGGAATGCATCTGTTAGTTGCCTTCTATGCAGGACTTTGCATTTTAGTCTGTCGTAAGAACTCATTATAATGACAATCTTAGATACACCAGTGTCAAAGAGGATTCCATAAGGTTCTATTGTCTGCCCTGTCTAATGCTTTTTCTTGGTCAAGGAAGTTGATGTTTAGTGATCAGTTCCATTCGATTGACTATTCGACACTGATCCGTTGTGTCTCGACTTTTTCGGTACATGATTGATCCGTATCAAGATTAATCGTCCACTGGATTTTTCATTCGGTTTAACAATACTCCGTTGAAGATTTTGTTTGGTACTAGTAGTAGTGTTATGCCTCTGTACCTCCACTTAACCGGGTCTTTTTTCTTTGATTTCCTGAGGTATCTCTCTTTGTAGTCTGTCGGTATTTGTCATTCCACTCTAATCCTTCTGAAGAGATCGTGGAGCATCTTTGCAGTTACCTCTATCTGCCTCCAGTGTTTCAGCTGGTATGCTGTCAGGTTATGATGCTTCTCCTGTCTTGATTTATCTGTTGGATATACTGGTTTCTTCAATTGTTCATGAAGTGACATCTACAGGAAAGCCTGTAGGTGTTGCCTTGATGTCCGGTAAGGTTTCGACAAAGATCCATTCCTTATGAGGATTCTAGGTGTGGTCTAGAACCTCCAGGCATGTTGAAGTTAGCGCTTCTTTAATCTATTTTCGTTTGTTCTCCATAGTAGTTTCCTTTCATTTAAGTAGACCTTGTAAGGTTTGGAACTTATTTCTGAGAGCTATCTTGGATTCTCTGAGTTTGTTTGTATCTCTAAAGAAAAATATACTAGATGCTTGTTATGCTCTCTGTCCAGTGCTTCTTTAGCTTCAGTCTCAGCTTGGCTGCCACCTGGTGGTGATCTGAGGCTATATCAACTCATCTCTTTGCTATGTCTTCCATGAACCTTCTGATGCAAATGTGATCGACCAGATTCTCTTTAGTATGGTCCAGTGAGACCTGTATGCATTTTGCTAAAACACATAGATTTGCAAATCCTTCACCGTTTTGTTTCTATTTCCTGGTCACTGTCGTCCCATGATATCTCCATATATGATGTCCATTCCGACGTTGGCGATTAGGTCTCCCATCAGGATGGTCATGTCCTTTCTTAGGTATCTCTACAATCGATTGCAGTCTCATTAAACTGATGTTTATCGCCTTCACTGCTATCGTTAGTGGCCCATAGCACTAGGTGATATTCATTGTAATCTGTTCTTTCTTTTTTTGAAGGATGATTCGAGGATCATGGATCCATGAGATTCGCATCCTATAGGTGCTTTCCGCACTTCTTTGGAGAGCATCGGCGCAACTCCTTATGTATGCGAGGCGTTTACTTCATGACCAGAATACAACAGCACCTCTCCCACAGCTTGCGTCAAATGGGTTTTACTTATTTCAAGAGTCTACAGGTTATATCTTATCATTTCTGCCGCTGCTAGAATGATCCTCCCGGTCTCCTACATTGTGCGGAGATTCTATGTACCTGTTGCTCTGGTTGCCAGGAGCGGCATCGGCCTCATGATTTCCTAAGAATCTCGGCTATCACCATGAGGCGTCACAACTCTTCGAAATGAAGAACTTCCAACTCCTAAGGAAGAGTTTAGATGGTGAAACTGATTTTTTCTGGTTAGCGTTTTTTAAGCAAGGTTCTTTTCTTCGAGATTGGGTTTCTAGCTCCATGCCCAGTCCTCTTTTATCCGGGCTTAGAACATGTAGTAAATCTAGTAAGACTCCAAACGAAGTTGTTGGCAAAGTGAAAAAAGGTTAGAAGACCCAAGATAATTTCAGTGAACTTCATTTTTTGTGATCACTAGTCCCAACTTTAAGGACCGACTTTCTCGTTTTCACAGTCTCAAATCGCAATGATTTACTTTTATTTAGAAACTTGTACTATAGTTTACATACCATTGTTGCTATTTATATGTTTCTTAAAGCTGAGTGAAATTCTTTGTCTAGTGGTTACATATGCAGTTTGAACTCGACATCAATAGGTAAACAATATTCTTGACTGGAAACTAGTGTGTGTTTGGATAGTATCTTGGGAATTAGAAGTTTTGATTGAAACAGGTATTACATATGTTAGTACAGATCTCGTCAGTAATTTAATGTAGTGATAATTTGGATATTACTTGTGTTATACGCAGAACCTTTCATCACAGCAGTATTATCACGTATAGACATGAAAAATGTACTCCCAGCTGTTATTTGTGCATACTCAGTTGATTTTAATGATTTTAGTACTATATGCTTTTCATCGATGTTACATTTATGTGTTTATGAAGTTCAACACTTGTCGTGAAGCTCGTTCTGTCATTGAACAGATAGCATTGTCCTTGGCTGCCGCTGAATCTGCTCTTCAATTTGAACATAGAGACTTACATTGGCATAATGTATTGGTCCGACCTACTAGACAATGGAAACTGCGCTATCGTGTTGGGGGAGTGAGTTATGCCGTTTTCACTGAAGGAATACAAGTTACAATAATTGATTTTACAGTATCCCGTCTTTGTCATGGTACGGATTATTTTTTACATATCTCTCGATACGCATATAGAATGTTTTGTTCTGTTCACTATCATACTTAATATATGAGGTCTATTGACTTGAAACACCATCAAAGGGTTTTTTGTATCTTGTTTACTCCAGGTAGTACCTAGTCCATTTTAATGAGTATTTTTATATCATATGGATATTTTTAATAGCTATAGTATTTATTTGAACACATATTGGTACAAAAGAAAGTCAAGTTGTAAAGAGATAAACGAAGGAAGATGAGTATAATAAAGAGAAAAACAATAAGTGAATAGAGCAAAGAATTATGGGAAAAGCAGTTCTGTTAGGAAGAATACAACCAGGAAAAATTCCCTCAGTACAAGATCCTCTCACTTATATGAAGAAAGTAAAAGAAATAACGGCAGGATCACCACTGACCGTTATAGGTCATGTCTGATGACATATCAAGCCAATTGTGTTGCACTGTAGGACCTTAACCAGAGAGCTGTAAAGAACCGACGGACACTAGTCGTGTGCAACTTCTTTTCACAACATGGGACTATCATAATCCGACTAAACAGGTTAGTTTGGACGTGACACACGGTTTCAGGAAAGCTTATTCGAAATTCGTATTCAGTGGTAGCATTCAACTGTCGACCAGTTGGTGATCTGATATCGTTTAGATAGGAAGGAAAGTAAATAGATAAGTGATGGAATGTAAAATAAGAATTAATGCTAATAAATAGTTCAATATAACTTGTGGGAGTATTTCCTTCAATTGTAGTCACCATCCACGAGGCAGTTGAGCAACGTCAGGAGATACTGTGATTTGTGGTTTGAAATCAAACTTTTCTAACTCCCCTAGATGTCTCCTGCAGTATTGACCAGTCTGGTTTAAGCACCAGACATTCGCCTTCCATCCACTCACTTTTTCACTGAACACTCCAGTCATGAGAAGGCATTGAGTAGAACCTACCTAGTAGTCCCCACCCTCGACCGTCCCAGGGCATTTGGGGGAAAAGCCGTAGGTGAACCCAGCTAAAGACGCGGTTCTAGACAGAACAGTTGATTCCCTACTTTACACGCCACTTTACTATTAAAGTAAAATACTGAATAAACTCAAACAGTGAGGACTAAAGATAAAGCAAAACGTAGATGCTCATTTCCGCGGATCACATGGAACTTGTTCCTAATGTATGATTTTTCACCAAATAGAATTCAAAGTTAATCAACATAAAGATCGAGTCACACCGACTAAAGCAGTGAAAAACTGGTGATGTATTCTGCACTGAAATGGATTTCGTTGTAACCGCTTGTTACTTAGTGCTTTACATATTATTTAATTATTCAAGAACTATTTATTTATTTTAACACATAAGTATAGGTACAGGGAGGCACCAAATACATATGCGCCACACGAATCTCAATTGATAAGTGTGAGGGCTGTGATACTGCCCGGGTGCCCAAACCGAAGCAGGTGGTTTTCTTAGGGGGCCACACCCCGAGCCTTCGACCTGGACGTCTGACCCACAAGGCAGTGGAGCATCGTGAGGAGATGCAGTCCCATGGTAGCCGGTGACCAACGAGTGGTTCATACGCCATTTGTTCCTTCAGGATACTGGAGCCCATGTGCACCATTGATTTGAGGTCCGGTTAAAGCGCCGGACATTCGCTTTTCGTCCTCTCATTTTTGTTAACAACACCCTCGCCACGAGAAGGCAGTGAGTAGGACTTCCCTGGCAGAGGCTATATACGCATGGCCATGTGAGAGCATTTCGAGAGGGAGAGCGGACTCTCCCCACTCTCGGCCGTACCAGGGCATTCAAGAACTAGGATATTCATTAAGCAGTTCGTTGGTTTAAGTTGACTGGTAATGAATATAGTCCTTTGATCTTATTACTAGTTCACTTAAATGGTTTGACTCTACTGAAGTTAGTGATAAGAGACTGAAATAACTGTATGATGTACATATTATCTAACCTTCTCGCATTCTTAATCCCATTAGTGGTATTAAGCGGTATTTAGTTTCTAAGAAGATGACTACAGTTTCGCAAATGCGTTCCACTTAGTTATATTTCTCACGTTTAACAGTGAATATTGCTAACTATTTTTGTGAGTTGATATTGTCGTTGTTGTTGCATACATTCAGTACAAAATATTACCACAATCAATTGTCTCTAAAAATTTCATGCTCTGGAATTGGACCTTCTTGATTGCTAAAAGTTCTTTATTAAATTAGAAGTAGTAACTTTTCTGTGACCAGAAACAAATTTCTAATGGGATGTTTTCTTTTGGAACCGTGAATGTTTATCATCGATTATTTTCGAATATTCGACATCTCACACATCACAAAACAGTGTGTTATTACTTAGTGATCAGACGTTGTTATATGGGCCACTCGGCTTCAATTTAGCATTTACATTCAGTGTTTACATTATTTCCTATTTCCTGGGATAGCTTAAAAAGAAATTACATCACTTCTCGTGTACTTCTGATTTTTTTATTTTTAGAAGGCAACATTGTTTACGTTGATATGTCAGAGTCACCAGAAATTTTTGAGTGTGAAGGGGATTATCAATTTGACATTTACCGTATAATGCGCGAAAACAATGGGTATGCTATAAGTGATATATTTGTTTTCATACTTTTTAAAGTGACAATCATTTCGTCGTATAGTTACATGCATAACTTCCCAGAATTAGTGGGCATTTAGGCTTCGTAATACTTTCTTAATATCCAGTGATGGTAGCCATTAACGCATCTGTTACAATTGGATGAGCACTCCACCCCGTGATACGTCTATTTATAAACTTTCAGAAGTCATAAATTAGGGAAAACAGATTACTTATAAACCATTTGATTTAGGAGCTATACACTGAACCTGTACTAAAAACTCTAGTTCCAATGATCCATGAATTTGTTACTAGATATTGTTTCCACGTTACGTCTTATATTTATTGATATCTCATGTCTTGAAATTCTCCGTGCATATGGTAAACACAAAATATTTCAAACATAACTATATTTTTCACGTGCTGTGTGAAGTAATTATCAATCAGTCACAACATATAGCCTTTTCAAAATATTCCTTAATCCAAGTTGATATACCACATAAAAATGAGATAATATTTCAAGACACTCGAGAGTAGTCGAATTAGTAACAGTATCAGTAGTAGTGGTAGTAATATCAGCAGAAAAAACTAGATATTGGAAAAGTGAACATTCCATGATTCAGCCTGTAAAGTGGATACATTTTGGCCATTACGAACGATCCTGAGCCATGTCACTCGGAGTCTGCACCTGGATCAGTACGATTATCAACGGCTTAATGGAATAGTCCCACGTCAAGGTAAGTAATAGTTGAACACATGTCCCAACCACGTCAGTTGATGAAGATTTACTACCTCCTCAATCGATTTGCCATCTTCACCTAGTACCATATTCCAAAGCCAGGGATCGTTTACTTAGTGGTCCCGAAATACACGAACAATGCTTCGCAAATACCTATGGTCGAATACCCGTAATCTACGAAGATCTATTCCTAATGGCTATGTTTCACACCCATAAAGTAGAACGAAGCAAACTGTTACTACAAACTAGTTTTTTTGGTTGGCAAACGAATACCTTGCCTACTCCACTAGTGGAGCAAGTTGGCTAAGACCATGAACTTGTACCAAGATTTCGTCAGACACCAGACCATCAGGAACAATGAAACTCCCAAGATAATTGAGGCAGTCGATGTACTCAACCACTTCACTTCCTATCATAAGTCCAGGCGCTGATGCAGGTCAATCCTAAAGCAACATTCTGCATTTTGAAGGTGAGAATCTCATCTCAAACATGCTTGCATTGTTGTTTAGTGGTCAAAAGACTGTATTTTGTCAGTGTCCCCACCAAGGAGAGCTATATCGTCTGTGTATTTTAAGTCAACAAGTGAATCTTTTAGTAGAAGATCAACCCTTGGAAAGTTTGACAATCAGCGCACTAACCATAAAGGGATGTATGTGACAAAGTGGGGAAAGCAGACAACCCTGATGAACACTTGAGGTTATCAACTCCGATAACAGTTCCCCATATATTTCGACTCGACCAGTAGAGAGCCTGCACAAGGTTGCAGTTACAGTTATATCTTTTCCTCATTATCATAATACTAAATATCTTATTTATTTTGTATCACAGGAATGATTGGCGCCCCTTTCATCCAAGTTCCAATCTTTATTGGCTTCATTATCTTATGGGAAAACTTCTGAACGAAACATCTTATCCCAGACGTGATCCTGATTCCCAACCTGTGGAATCTGAACTGCGCGCATTATATGACATGATACTAGCAGGTGATTATAATTCTGCCACACAACTTGTGAGCTCAAGTTTCTACTTCGATGCTTGTCGAATCGGTTAACAGTGACTTGATGAACTTCCTAAGACGTCAGAGATTGTTCCTATTTAGATTCTTTTCGCCTTCTAACCTTTCATACAAAAACTCTACCCCTCTTTTGTTTTGATAAATGATATGTGTAAAGTAGAACTCTTCCCATTCACATTGTAATCCTATAAAAGAGGAACGTTAGCTTTCTGAAAACTTGTATCATGAAGTTCGATAATCTTTCCGGTTTCTTGATATTTGTTCTGTTTGTGGTTAGTTTTGGATATTTTTTATAGATCTCGTTTCGAAATCGCTTTTGTATGATCAAATATTCATTTATCGGGTTACTTATCGTTTGGTTACGAGTGTTAGCACTTCCGCTGGGTTTCGCTTACTGTGCCACAACTGGATATTCGCTTTGGTAGATTTTCACTCTGACCTTATGGAACGGCACATATTATTTCCTTGCTATTACTTTAGTAATCACTTGAAGTTGACCAACTATTTTTACTTCCTTAAAATACAGCAGGTCAATAGAGGCGTACAAAGACCACTGACCCCAAATTTTAGCCCATATTTCTTCTATGTATCAAAAGCACCGCGCAATGCCTATTGTATCAGGAAATTAACGAGTCAACCGGTGGGCTCATCAGGAAGAGTGTCCCACAATGTGGGACGACTGAACCATACAAACTAGCTTAAAGACCTAGAAGTGGTAATCCAGTCTATAGTAATGCTGAACATAGAGAACATTACAAAATCGGAGTATGCCATTTGAAAACATCTGCGATAGGGACCGAAGGTGGACGACATATTGAACTCTGTACATGGTCAAGATGTCGGCAAATTTTATTGGTCAGCGTCTTGTCAGTTCCACGTTATTTCACTGAACCAGACTTCTTGCTACCAGTAGATTGGATGAGTTGAAAGAGCTTGCGGCAGTTATGACAGAGCTGGAGCTTCCGACTCGTGAGCATGCTCAGACCACTAGACTTCCTGGTCTCCACTCGCGGTCAACGGAGACATGCTGATGTGCCACGACGAGTTGTAAAGAGCCTGTATAAACTCAGGGCTCGTCAGCAAGAGGTCTTCGACGTAGCAAACAACTTTTCTGACCATTTCCGTGAAGTCAGAGAACATCTACACTTTCTGGTGGGTGGATATCTAGCCTTCAACCTAACCCACTTTCATATTCTGTTGCAACAGAAGCTCCGGTCGATTCGCTTACATCGATATACTTAAATTGACAGATCTGTTGACAACTGAAGCGTAAAATACAATTAGCGCAGACGAGAGATGATCCGAGTCCAGATAAGTGCTCCATGAAGAGCTGGAGTCTAGTACACAACCACGCCAGCGGTAGCTGGTTGCAATGCGGCCAGTGAGTCCAAACTCGACATACAGAGGACGACAGCGATGATAGTGCCGTCAGTTAGTGCTAGCCGGAAATAGGCTGTAGTCTGTGTAAAGTTGCAGTAGACCTGTAACCAACAAGTCGCCAATAGGCACCCAACGACTCTCCTCGGTATCTAGACGCCTGATCTGCATATCCGAATCTCCTGTCAGTACTATAATATCTGTCGAATGTGCTTTCTGAAGATCACTTAACTGGTGGTAAAACTAATCCTTGATAACACAGTATGTCGAGGCATAGGCAATAACGAGAATACACTGCCACTTCGATGGAGCTTCCTAATCCAACAACACAGTCGGCCACTAATAGGGTTTCAGCCAATAGGTACTACCTCAGCCCTAGCGCTTAATGCGACACTAAGGCCAGCAAAATCAGACAGATGCCACAGGGTCGCCGGGTGAATGCACATGAAACAAGCCCTGGAAATCGGCAAATGGATGGTGAGTATATAGTGCTATAATAGACTCGAGGAAGTCTCAGGTAACAAACATCGATTTTAAGGTGTTCTAAAGACAGACAACCTTACTTATTGTCCGATATGCATTAATTTGGGAATATTGAAATAGGTCAGTTTGAACGATGCACGGAGTTTCAGGAAGGCTGATTCGTAATCAGTGGTAGCTTTCGACCGGTTAGTGATCTGAGATCGTTTAGATTCCCACCATAATCGAGCTGTTGGGTAAGTTGAAGACTAGGAGTACACAAAAGAGGAATGAAAGGGAACAGAGAAACTCAATGTACAGTAAAGGTTATTGCTGTCATATAATCGTAAGAATGCATATTGAAGCAGAGTTCTCAGTTGTAACCATTTATGTGAGCCAAAATGACCTCAGGTGGCAACACCGGAGTAGGCAGTTTCTTTGGGGTCCTCTAGCGATTGACCCAAAGATCTAATCCAAAAGGCAGTGTAGCAACGTCAAGACGCTATCCCATGGTAGCCAACAACCAAGGATGGGTCAGTACGCCATTTGTTTGGAACTCAGTCAGTCAGTAACAACGTGGAACTTCGTACGTACGTACATCAGTTCGAGTTGCCATACCACATTAGCACAGAGATTCAGTTATCGATTCAAATCCCATAGTGGTAGAGGTACTGAAAGTATAAGTAGAGATAGGGGACATTAAGGTTTGATGATGTTATTAAAGGAGTATAGTCCAGTGGAATAAATTGGGAAAGAAAATAAAGGACATGAAGAATTCAGAAGATTAGAGTTTGAGAGAACACAAAGAGCGGATGCACCTGCGCCATTGCAAACGATTTTGAGCCATGTCATTCAAGGTCTCTAACCATCGGTTGCTATCGTCTCGCGGTCCCCAACCAGGTAGTCTACACCTACCAACATGACTCAGTCCACTTGTCAGTGACTTCATGGATTTGTGCCATGTTTTGGTCTGGCCGCCCCTAGCTTTCTTCCAACCTACTCCTACACCATAAAACATAGCACGTCGGGGCAGTCGGTGGTCGGGCATGCGCAACACATGTCCCAGCCATCTCAAATGATTGAGTTTCACTACTTCCTCAATTGATTTTCCATCCTTACCTAGTACCCGTTTCCTAACAACTGAGTTACTTACTCGGTGGTCCCAGGATATACGAGCAATGCTTCGAAGACATCTATGGTCAAATACTAGTAACCTACGAATATCCTCTACTCTTACTGGCCATGTTTCACTGCCATAAAGTAGGACGGAACGAACTGCTGCGCAGTAAACACGTCCTTTGGTTGATAGACGGATATCTCGCCTACGCCATAAATGACGCAAGTTGGCAAAAGCTAGTCGAGCCTTTTGTATCCGTGCTGAGATTTCGTCACACACCAAACCACAAGGGCTGATGAGACTTCCGAGATAAGTGAAGCGGTCGACACGCTCAACTACTTCACTCCCTATCACTAGTCCGGGTGTCAACGCAACCCAATCCTGAAGTAACATTTTGCATTTCGAGGGAGAGAATCGCATGCCGAATAGGCTTGCATTGTTGCTTAGAGTGGTCAACAGACTCTGCATTCTGTCAGCGTCTTCACCAAATAGAACTATGTCATCGGCATATTCTAAGTCAACTAGTGAATTTCCCGGTAGAAGTTCAACTCCTGGAAATTTAGATGAGGAAAGTGTCATCTCTAAAAGCAAGTCAACGACAAAGTTAAACAACAATGCAGAGAGTGGACAGCCCTGACGAACACCACTTGAGGTAATCAATTCTGATGACAGTTCACCATAAGCTCTCACTCGACCAGTTGTGTTCGAGTAGAGAGCCTTTATAAGGTTGACGTACTTCTTTGGTACTCCCTTCAGTGACAAACATTGCCATAGAACCTTACGATCAACAGAGTCAAATGCCGCCTTAAGGTCGAGAAATACTACCATTGTGGGACGTCTGAATGTGTGTCTATGTTCTAGGACCTGACGTAATGTGAATATTTGATCAATGCAACCACGTCCAGGTCGAAAACCAGCCTGGTTTTCTCTAGTCTGCTCTTTACGAGCTTTGGTTAGACGTCGAAGTTTTATTGAAGCTAATATTTTAGACACTATATTAGTCAAACTAATTCCTCTGTGATTGTCACAGGAGGACTTTTGTCCTTTCTTATAGACTGGTACAATCAGTGATTGAGACCAGTCAGATGGGATTACGTCCAGTTCCCAGATTCTACCTAAGACCTCAGTCAATCTCGCTGCTAATACTGGACCGCCATCCTTAAAAATCTCAGGGGTAAACCTGTCAAGGCCTGCTGCTCTTCCACGATCCAGATTTCCTATAGCTTTTTCAACTTCGTAAAGAGTCGGAGGACTTACATCAACTTGCCATTCAGGTCGACTGGGGATCGTGGGAAACCGAAGTGTGGCTGAAGGCCAGTTGAGCTGATCCCTAAAGTGTTCTGCCCATCGATCCAATCTCCTGGATTGAGAATGAATAATATGTCCATCTTTCTCTGCGATTGTTTCGCTAACAGTTGGGTTCCTAATACCGGTTTCCTTAACAAGTCTGAACAGTTGCCTGCTGTTACCTATTGCCGCTGCCTTTTCCATCTCTCTTGCTTTCGCTACCCACCACTGTTCACGATCTTTGCGTAAGCTTCTAGTCAGCTTACGCTTAAGCTGACTCCGCTCTTCGTTATGTTCAGAGCCAGATGGAATGAGTTTTCGAGCGTCTATCAGTGCGGTAGATGCTGCTGAGATCCAGTGTTTCTCCCTAACCTTATGGTTTACCGTACTTGCAGACATCACTGCTGTTTCTACAGCTTTTCGGATGTCATTCCATGCTGCCTCGGGGTGGGTATCACTTACATGGCTGCCTAACTGTTTTTCTAGATGTTCCTGAAATATACTCTTAGCTTGACTATCATTAAGTAGGACCCTAAGGGGTTTCCTTGCAGCATGTTTCCTACGTCCAGTAAGACGTAGACAGATACGCGCTCGCACCAGAGCATGATCTGAGTCTAAGCATGTGCTCCAGAATGAGCGACAGTCTTCTATCGAGCCCCTCCATCGGTGGCTGATAGCGATGTGATCTATTTGGGTCCAGCGTTGAGACGAATTAGGGGGTCGCCATGTCAAAAGATGTTTTTCCTTATGCTTAAAGTTAGTGTTTGCAAGAAACAGGCGGTTATCTGAGCATAGC